GCTCTCCCACAGATCTTTTTTTTCTCCCTCTCTCCGGCTCTTATCTGCGGTGTGATATGCTTCACTTTGAAGACGTGACGGAGAATTAAAAACTGACGACTGTTGTTTTTCAAGTTGGTCGGAGGGAACAATGACCACACTGTTTACAGCTGCGTTTGATATACACCTCAAGAGTAATAATGAATCGTATGTATAGTCAAAAAGTTTCCAAATGTATCTGTGGCTGTATGAAGCCATGTATGATAAGCACCAGTGCGTCTTTGTTTTCTCAAAGAGCAGAGGCCTGGCTGTCACAAACTTCCAAACAGACCTCTGAGAAAGTAGCGAGGGGAAGAAAGAAGAATATTGTTCTGCGTGTGTTTTGTTTGAAATTGTAACCATTTCCTAGAGGCCACAGGCAGATAGGGGAAATGATGAAACGTTACAACACACTGCTGTTTGGCTTGTTATCTGTTTGTTTCCATGCCCACTCAGGAAAGTGAAGGACTGGGCCTTTTCTTTTTAATGCCACAGTCAGCACATGAAAACCACACCTGTTGCTCTCCTGCATGCTGTTTTTCTCCTCATATCAAAGCTGTTTTGATGCTGATATCTTAAAATGTTAACGTGTAAATAAACCACGTTGCTTTAAAAAAGAGCAAGCTCAACAAAGTGTCCACCTTCAGACGCGGTAGCAGGAATACCGATGTTTATTAAAACGGAAAAAGTCACTTCTTCTTCACGTGTCCTTCCTTGCCAGGTCACATGTCTGTGCCGTTTATCAAACGTCTCTCTGGCTGAAACAAAAGCCTTCTCCAATTTCCTCGTAACGCATCTCGCTGTAGAAAGTTAAAGTCTTGTGTATTTCTTGTTAAGGGTCACAGGCAGTATTGACCATTACCCTTCCTCCACACAGCCAGTCTTGTTGTTTTAAACCCTGAGTTAACCAGAGATTGATCTGAAGAATGGGTGTATTCGGGGACCGCCATCCGTCATATAGGGGCTGAAAGGGTTGTTTTCTCCCGGCCCCGTCACCTTTGATGAATCCCTGCTAAAGACTCCGCTGGGGAAGGCACAGCCAGCATTTTCTTGGCTCAGATGCTCTGAGTTTCCCTCCACTCTCTCACTCTCTGTTTTCTGGCGGAATACTTTCAATTGTGCCACAACCTTTTGTACATGCAGTCCATTATTTAAGAGTTGTTGTTTGTAGTGGGCGGGCCACTGGAGGGTTTTTTTTAAGTAGTTTTGGGAGAAATTAATTATCTTTGCTACTATTTTTAAGTCAGTTCGACATCCTCTGAATGACTGGGTGTTCCTCTGGGGTACTGGTCTGCCTTTGCACCAGTTTATTTCCCAAAATGAAGGAAAAGTCAGAGAGCACTTCTTCTTCTCCGTGCCCCAAAAATCACAAAAGAAAATCTGTGTTTATGCACAAGTGAGAATTCTAAGGTTAATATCAGTGATATTGAGCAATAATGACTGATTCCATCCCAGCAGTTAGTCAGCTGATTTCATCACTTTTACTGTACGAGTGATGAAATCAGCGTTTGGACTGTAGGCGTCTCTCTCTCTCTCACTCTCTCTCTCAATCGTTCTGCTTTTGTGTCCTTTTGTCCTTCTCTATCTAGTGTCTGTCCCCCCCCCCCCTACTCAGCCATCACTTCTCTTAAGTTGAATTAGGGGTCGCAAGAGTTTGCTGGAATCCTAGACTCATATTCCAGATGGTGACGACAGGAACTGGCTAGAACTCTTCACCTCACAGCATCCTCGTCCCCCATGGTCTCGATCCCAAATCTCAAATCTGCTGTAGATTTTTAATATGCTTTCGTTTTGGAAGAGTGCATGATTGAATAATCAAACAAAAAAAGAAAATAATCTCTTTGTTAATGTCATGAACTGGCGAATAACTTTTTATGATCCACATTTTTATGGTTTGAAGAGAAAAGGTGTCCAATAGAAAATGTTTTTAGAAATGAATAGACAGCACAAGATGTATTTTTGCTCTTTTTGTTCTTTCTCTGAAACCCCTTGTATACAGTCATACTAACAAACAGTTTATAATAAAGCTTTTAAATGAACTAGAAGAGAAAACTAATGCTCAAAATAATAAAATAAATAAGGGGGGGGGGCAGTCAGAATTATAGCAACTTTAGGTTAGGTACTGATTTCAACTTGCTACATATAGATTCACTTAAATATACATTTTGTGCCCACATGCATATGTACGCATAAATATCCATATTTGTACATAACATACACATATAGATTTGTTTTTTGGGGGGCTCTTTATGACTGCGTTAGAGAGACAGGACAGTGGATAGAGTGAGAAAGCAGGGAGAGAGAGAGAGAGTGCAGTATGACATGCGGTAAAGGAGCCACAGGTCGTATTTGAACCCAGGCGTACCGCTTCAAGGATTGTATAGCCTCTAAACATTGTGCACAAACTAATCACTTTGCCACTAGAAACATATTTATATTCATATACATATACAAACACTTAAGACACTCACACACATATAAATTAATTTGCCTAAACGTATACTTCTGACCCCTTTGGACTTTAAGAGGAGCTAATTCTCACTCTGCAAAGCAAAAGGCCCGGGCTTCTGTCATTCAAAGGTTTTATCTTGCTTCTTTTATTATTAAGAAACGTCCAACAAATGCATGTTTCCACTTTTTTTATTTATTTATTTTTTTCACATTTTACTTTTAACAGACAAAACCAAAAAAGAATCAAGAGAGTGTTAAGAAAAAGAAAAGAGGAGAAGTAATTAACAGGGTAAGGAAGAAGTAATATTAGCAGCCAAAACAAAATAAAGCAATAAAAATTAATACAAATTAATACAATATAGTACAAAATACTAAGGAGTGAATAAATAAAAAGGTTTCTAATTGGTCACAGTTTTTTCTCTGAATAAGGCCCAAACACATCTGGCTCTGAAGAGTGGCTGGTCAGAGGTCCATAAGAAGCTCCCGTATTGTAAAAATAGTAATTAAAAAAAATGTCTGCCTGTTCCAGGCATAATTTCATTGGTTTGAACGGATTGAAAGTTTGAGGTATTTTATTCTCTAGATGTGATATTATACCAATCCTCTACGTAGATATATATGCATAACCAGTGGAAGTGAACCTTTAACAGTCAGGCTGTTCAGCGCCTTCCAGATCTGTTTCAAATGTCTGCATTCCTACAAAACATGTGAGATTTAGCCTGTACATGTTTCACAGTGATGACATTTAGAGGAGGTGAGGGTACGTTTGACTGAAACGGAAGGGAGGAAGGTACATCCTGTGCGTAGATTCGTAACTCTGTTCAGTTATCTTGTTACGAGACAATGAAGTAAAGACATCCTGAAGGTAAAAAAAGACTATCTTTAATGTACACAGCCAGCTTTAATGTTATTTATGAACCAGGGAGATGTTTCAGTCAATCACTGCACAAGATGTAGCGTAGTACAATATTATAACTTTTAAATAGCATCTTTAAAAACATACAGGATCCTATATAACAGAATAATATTACATTATAAATAACAACAAGAGAGCCATAAAGAAACCAGGTAAATCAGCATAAATACTAATTATTGGCTAAAATGGCATTATCATAGAGATAAACTTAATTAACATTATTCTATCAGATAATTAAATAAAATTATTTATTTTAAATTCACAATGTAGATTTAGGTAAAACCATCTAATGAGATACTTTAGTAAAGTATTCAAATTAATTTTGTGTTATACTGGTCTTAAGACGAGCGATATAAACAGATTGATTAGCTTTTTATAATTATGTTTAAAGTGTCCCTTATGCAGTGCTGTTTTTTCTTCTCTTTTTTAAGAGCCTCTGAAAACATGACGACTTTTTCAAGCTTTTGAAGAAAGGAGAAGTCTGGCTGTTGTTCTGACAAATACAATAATGTTAAAAGATCCACAGCAGCTGCCTGAAATTTATAGACATATTCTAAGTGACTGCATTCCTGTGCAGCTCCACGTAGAGTGAAGTTGGAGTTAAGGTCAAAACCTCTATCTCTTAAGCACACACACACACACACACACACACACACACACACACACACACACACACACACACACACACACACACACACACACACACACACACACACACAGAACTCCCCCTTCTTCTCGACTAATAAATAATTATCCCTTTGTGTGATGTGGCTTTCCTCCAAGGACGTGTGTAGTTTATGTGAGTTACATTTAGCAAAAACAGAACCTTTTCCAAAATGGGAAAAACCCCGATCTGTTGTTTTATCATTTTTACATCTTAAGCCATAACTCATTTATCTGTGTATTCTTTAAGTGATGCAGTTTGAATCCGGCTCTGACCTTTTTTTTTTTTTTTTGTCCTAATCTCCCAAATCCTCTGATATATACTGCATCTAAAAAATTACTCCTCATTTTGAAATTTAAACGCATTTTAACGCATTAGTAAAAGTAAAAGAAATAATCATTACTGAGATGTTACGGTATCTTCTTACTCACCAAGTTTTTTATGTTCCTTTGAGGGTGTTGCCTCATCCTTATGGTTAACGTGTTTTGAAAGTGGGGTAAGTTTCAGAAAACAGATGAGTCGTGTTCCAGTATTCAGTATCTGACACAAATACTCACATCCTGAAAATTTCATATTTCAATGTTACAAATTTGTAAAAACTAATTTAATCTGTGATGTGGACTTTTATCAACTACTCTACTTTCAAACTTGAATGTGGCGATGTCGCGCTTTAATGTCAGCACATTCGGTGTCTTAATTTTTTATTTTTTTTAAACACCTCACTCCTTGCACACACTCCACCCGCAATCCACCTCCTAACACAAACACATCATACTTGAATAAAGAAATTAAATCAACAGGGGCTCATGCAAATGCTATGTTAAGCAGAATCCCCCCCTGATGTTTGGTGTGTGCTGGCCAGGGCAGAGCAGGGGAGTCTTCTTCTTCTTCAGCCTCCCTCGCTCCTCCCCCCTGTCCACAGAGTTATTCACTATTTGAGCTTTCAGGAGAGGAAAGAAAGTCAGACAGTATAGAGACAGAGGGACAAGGAGCTGTAAGCCTCACACACTCCCACTGCAAAGACACACCTAACAGCCAAGGAGCGTGAAATTTGGCATCCATCATCACCGCCAGTTTACCTTTTTAACCTATAGCTTCATCACTTTAGGGAAAGATGGCTCCAATAGCGAACTGTGACCACTGATGTTGGTTTCCTCCATTATTGTTTGTTTCTTTTTTTTTGAGATACTGTTTGTGTTAAACTTTCAGGATTTTGTTTCTCCCCTCTGCATCTTCTTCTGGAATTACCATCCCTCCTTATTTGGACTTTCTCGAGCCAACTCTGCCGATGCTGACTGACCCGTGTGGAGCCATGTCCATGGGGTCAGACGTTCGAGATCTGACCCTCTTATCTCCAGCGCCTCCCATGCCGTCCTTACCAGGAGCCGGTGGCGGCTGTGGGATGTCTGTCGCTGGTGGGGGACAGTGGACCCAACTGCTGGACCTCCACTCCGGCTCTCCCTACAGCTCCCTGCCCTCCCACCACTCCATCATCAAACAGGAACCAGGATGGGGGACCTCCGACACCATAGAGGACCCTCACTGTGGACTCGGGGCCTTCACCGTGCACTTCTCAGGCCAGTTCACGGGATCTGGCCCCTGTCGAGTTGGGGCCTTTGGAGAGACGACTGCAGGTCAACCCAGGATGTTTCCCAGTGGGACCTACCTGCCCGGCTGCATGGAGACTACTCCTGCACCCAGGAACCAGGGTAAGCATGCTCATCACCAACCCCACCTTTCTTCACCTGTTTTCACCCACAAACGTAAAATCCAGGTTTTACAGGAGGTCAGTGTTTTTTCTATACTTCCTGCTGTATACATTCATGATAGAACTCCATATTTAGGGTGTTGTGTCTCAGCAGGATGTTTTGTGTGCAGCACTGGGTCACCCTGTCCCGGGTCAGGAATGGGCTTGACAGCTTCCTGGTAACGCTCTGGCACTGGTCCATACAATAGTTCTTTTTTTTTTCTGCTGGTGCTTCAAAGGGCTTTTCACGGGACACAGATTTTATATCTTCATTCACTTGTAGATCAATGTAAGAGCATCGCTATGCATTTATTATTTTATTAGATTCATAATGTCAGAATAGATCTTTCGGTGAATCACTTTTGCAGTTTGACCCGGTCTCGTTTCTCATTTAAAGGATTTAATGGCAGGACAATTTCAGGGGAAAAAAATGCAAAAGCATCCGAGCACAATTAGATCAACATTACAGTGAAAAAAAAACATGATATTAAACTTCTGATTAAAAAAAGAAAACGTAAATCAATATTAACCTTATAAGTCTGTAAAAGCAGCCGCGGGTAGAAAGCTGCATTTTACAAAGATCTGTTTTGACCCAGTGTCCTTTATTATATTACCGTTGCTTTTTTATTTAACTAACCAAAAGTGGTGACAGACTCTTATTATCTTCTATTATCTCTTTTTTAGGTATATGTGACTTTATTGCGTATTATAATAAAGGATGCCGCATGTGAGAGAGGAGTTAGGGCGAGTCTGAGGGCCCATGATTTACGGGGGCTCTGAAAATATTAGAACATTAGTTATTTTTTTGCAAATATTTTTTTTTTTCATGGGGCAAAATGCTTGAGGGTGCCCCTGATTATAGTATGTTCAGCCTCTGCAGCTATGAAAGTCATGTGCATTGTTTCTATGAAACAAATAATACATTTGTGTGGAGTTAAACTTGAGCTTGTATCATTATTGGTAATTTAAAGAAATACAAACGCACATAGGTATGACCTGCTGTGGTCCATTAGTGATTACTACACGCTAAAATTAAAGGCAAAAAACTCACACAAAAAAAACCATTGTTTCCCTTTATGTTCTTTTACGTGTTCTTCAAAATAATTATCAAGAAAAAGATCAAGAAAAACACAAATAGAAATATTTTAATCATAATTTCACTTAGGCTAGTAATCGTATCATTTCCTCTAGGATCTTTTTTTTTCTTTCTAGTAGACCTGCACACACATCACTGAGAGTTTCAGTGTTATTTATCTGGAATCCTTTTCAGGGATTAACTTTATTACAATATCCTGTGAAGTGCTTTCATAGATGCGATGACTCTGCCTTTACTGTAAACAACCCTCATGTCTGCTGAGCTTCATTACTCAGAGATCAGAGTCCTGCTCTGCCGGTGTGACTTTCAGAGTCAGGATTCAGGAAGTCTCATTGCTCAGTGGAAAGTGCTCAAGTTTTTGATGAAATAATAAATACATAGACTGTGTGTTTGGTGCTCAGCAGGCGGGATAGGTTTTAAAGAAAACCAAGTGAGTCATTTTTCTCTGAAACTTTTCAACATCCCTCTCGGGTCTGACTCAGGATCTGTCTGCCTGCCACTTTAAGACAGCACTTCTCTAAAACTCTTTTACAAGGGCAAGATTAGAAAAGAGGGAAGTGTCCAAGGACCAGATATTTGTATTGTTTTTCTCTTTTTCCTATAAGAAAGTAGGAATTTAAATGTGTTGAGAATGCACCTTTTTTATCCAGAAGACAATGAACTCATGGTTAGATTTAACATCTCCCATTCCCCCTCTGCTTAAAAAGCCCAGGTGAAATCTGTTTCTGATATGATATGCACTTATTTGCCGTAAACAAACATAACAAATTATTTGGCAAAATAGTTTCTTAATCCGAAGACGCCCTTCCAGTCAAACAATGTGCTAATGATGGAACGGATGTTAACTTTGTATGGCTGCATCAACAGCGCCAGAGGTTACTACTCTTAATGAAATACTTTAACAAAATATATATATATATTCCAACTAAGTTTATTACTTTTCATAATAATAATAATACATTGATTTCACCCTTTAACAGTTACAACAAAGCTACTCTATCAACTTTCAGTCAGCAGTTTCAGTTTTTTTTAAATAAGGTGAAATGAAATAATTGTTATTCTATCAAAAGAATGACAGAATAAAATTTAAAAAACTAATGAAAAATCTTTGATTACATTTTTATTTGTATTTTTTTTTTTTTTACATAAGTTTATGAATGATTTAAATCCAGGATAGAGGTTGGTTAAAGGGCATAATTCCGCCCTCAAATTGAATAAAAGATGGACTTTTCCCTTATGTGTATGTAACATTTAAACAAGCATCATTTGTATGCAGATTTCTCAAATGTAACATTCTTCTTTAACAGAACCTTCATGCATTTCCTTAAATAATGCAATAAATCACAATGCTCTCTGTTTCTTATAACTTTAATTAAGTTAGCATACATGCAATTCATCACTTCCCAGCCTGGTTTTTTTTTATCACTGAGCACACTACAGCAGCTCATCTCAGTCCGTCTGTGCTGTGTTTGCCAGATTTCTTTTTCCACCTGCCATAAATATTGCAACCACAAGGCCAAAGATAGATGGGGGGAAAAAGAACATGTTACAAGGAAAAGGGATTTAGTTGTTTAATGAATGTCTCTCTGTGGTGACCCCTGCCAGAGACTGAGAGCCACTACCAGGGGGATTCAGATAACTGACCAGATACTGGAGACTCTGCAGACTTCACCATGTTACAAACATTTGCAGGATGGTAATCTGATGACTCCTCCACCAGGCAAATGGGATTATTGAAATTTTCCACTGCTTCCTACTTTTGTTCTCAGGTTACGGAGCGCTGAGTTTCGACAGCAACCCCAGTTATGGTCACACTCCGTCTCACCACACCCCTCAGCTCTCCAGCCTGTCCTTCAAACACGAGGACACGCTGTCACCGCCAAACAACATAGGTAAGCGTCTGCATCCTGACATCTCACCACTAAATTGACTTGCAGACTTGGAGGACTGTCATGTCAAAGCAAGGTTATATAAGTAACCCGTTATTTTTCATATCACAACAGAATCGCTGTCACCCATTGTCCTTCATCTCCCTCCGTCTCTGTCTGCACACACATTCATAAACGCAGGCGTACACACACACACACACACACTCCCTCTCGCTCTGTAAGCACACGTATGGTTAATGACTCTGATAACTGGAGGAAGCGGCTTTATGTGACTCTGCTGGAATGTCAAAAACTGTCAGGGGAGTAATATAGTATATGAGGCTGAAAAAGACCACTGTTCCTGAGTGACCCGCTCGCTCTTCTCAAACGAGGGCCCTGCAGACATGCAAGAGTAGCCCTTTGAAATTTGAAAGCTTTTTATTTGAAAGTATTTGTTTGACTTCAATGTGTTTTGTGTTGGTTCCAAAGAGGGCATGAAATAGTGCAATAATACAATCATTATTAGAAATATATTTATATATCAGTGATTTTTAAACACTCAAACTCAAACAAAGAGTGGCTTTGTTTTGGGTAATCTTTGCTTTTCTTTTTTTGAAATTGTTTTTTATGTGACTTTTAGTTCCTTTTTTTCTCTGCTTTTTATATTTGGAGTTTTTGTTTATAAAAACAACAAGTTGCAACTTTGTTTTCAAAGATGCTCCATAAAGATGATCATTGAGTTGATAGTTTCTGACATTTTGGATACCAATAAATCAGTGTTAATGCATATAATAATTTGCAAAAACATCAATTAGTTGCGACCCTTATGTGAATAATTTCTTTACTTTTTCTACTTTCAGTTGAGCAGCAGTACCCGGCTCCTCCTCCCATGTTCGGTTGCCACAATCCCCCAGAATCCTGTCCGAGCAGCCAAGCCCTGCTGCTGAGAAACTACAACAGGTACAATTATCTACCTCTTCCAGCATTTGTTGTCACTTCATTTGACTCCAGCTACCTTAAATCCCCTCATGGTACAATTCCATTCGTCTCAAAAAGTTTTCAGACTCCAAACACATCCATTAATGTCAGATTCTTTCCACTAACACCGCATGCAGCTCGCTCACTTGCTTACTTGCTGGTCGTTTTTTTTTTAAACGTGTGAACTCCCTCTGATCCTGCCTCGGCGCTGTCTGGTTTGTGAATCCTAATTTGTTCTGAGGTTAAGTGCTGCCCACTGCTGCTCAGCAGGCCAAAACAAACAGAGAGTGATCTACTGCTGATGTGTCCGAGTCCACCCAGAGGAAAAATGAGGAGAAAAGTAAAAGAGACAAGTTCAGTTTAAGTGAAAGTTAAGTGGCGGTTGAGGCTGGGAATCTTCTTATTCTAACCTCGGAATTAGTTTCCAAGTTGTTTTCATTTTTGATGCAAACCATCTGAAAGGGAAATTAGGATGAAATTCTTGAAATGCCGCCTTGTGATGTTTTTGTAGAAAAGGAACATGCGCTACCCAAACACTGGAGCAGTGTTTGATAAGAGGAGGGAAGACTCAGCTGTTGTTAGAGCTTATGGCATGAGCTGGAAATCCTCAAACAAACCCAGAGACATGCACACACACACACTGAATACATGTCAGATATCAGTGAGTTTTTCCACAGTTTAACATATCTCAGAGCTGATTAGCGAGCCATCACCATCCTTCCCTCAAGGACTTCTCAAGGAATGCCGTCCAGAATTCCCCCAAAACTGTTTCTCGGTTTTTAATGATACTGAGGACAGAGTGATGTCATGCACTGGTGCATGGTGTGCTAGGCACGGAGGCACTCACCCCCGCAGGGTGCACCATCGCCTGTCCAAGTTTGCATATGTGTGTGTGTGTCTGTGTGAGAGAGAGAGTGCAAAAGTGTGATCTGCCAAGGTAAAGAATGGCTCTGAGCCCATGTTTTTTAATGAAGCCAGTGAGGAGTGTGCAGGGTGGACAGGATGTGATAATAAGAGAGCAGTTTGGAGTTCCCCCTCTGAATGAAACCTCTTCATTTTCCTTAAAAGGGAGGAGAAAAGAAAGGAAGAGATCAGAGTAGCATGATTCTTTTGTAACATTTCAAGGTTTTCCCAAATATAGTTCGTAAAAAACAAAAAACTAATTTCTGTGCTCTGAGCGAGTCTACTGAGGAACTTTTTGCGTTGTATTTTATTTTCCCAGATTAAATAAGAGTGTATTTATGTTTTAACACCTATGGGTAAAATGTTTATAACCTGTCTGTATGTTTTATTCAGCGATAACCTGTACCAAATGGCGTCTCAGCTGGACTGTGTCACATGGAACCAAATGAACACTCTTGCATCTTCCATAAAGAGGTGAGCCATTTGTTCTACTTTGTGTTACATTAACACGCTGTTTCCTTTAGTTTTGAGCTTTTTTTGTGACAATGCAGAGGAGGGGGATTTGACCAGATGGCTGTTGGCCCTCTGCCTAAGGAGATCAGGAAGTGGTGGGGAATGTGTGTGTGTGTGTGTGTGTGTGTGTGTGTGTGTGTGTGTGTGTGTGTGTGTGTTTGTGTTTGTGTTTGTGTTTGTGTTTGTGTGCTGTCACGTGCTTCCCTGAGTGTTTGAGGACTATTTTAAGTCATTACAAAGTGAAGTGACTTCTTCAAGTATAGTTGAGTTGTTAGTTTTTAAAATGTTCTTAATTCTTCCTCTTTTGTTCCTGCCCGTCAGCGGACACCCTACCAGCTACGACAGTGACCCCACAGTCCCAACTCCATCCATGCTGGTCAGTGCCCAGTACCACATACACACACATGGAGTCTTAAGAGGACTTCAGGTCAGTGAGACTAAAATCACACAAACAAAAAAAAAAACCAAACAAACAGAAATCTTGCATACTGTAAAGCCCTCTGTCTTCTTCTTCTCTTTCTTAAAGGATGTTCGACGGGTAGCTAGTATCGCTCCGCCAGTTATGAGGTCAACTGAGGCCAACGAAAAGCGTCCGTTTGTCTGCGCTCATCCTGGCTGCAGCAAGAAATACTTCAAACTGTCACATCTGCAGATGCACGGCCGCAAACACACAGGTGAGATAATGTGACTCATACTCCTCCTTTTCCCTGCCCACACCTCAAACTGCTGCCATCTTTCAAATGTCATAAGAAATTCATACTGTTAAAAAAAAAACTGTTTTTAAACCACTTCAAAATGGATTCATTAGGGAACATTTCTGCTAGAGCGCTGACTTCCCCCCACTGTAACTAGGAGAATATTGTTTGGTTTCTATTTTTAAATTGGATGATGAAGATGAGGGCTTGTTTGTTTTTCAGGAGAGAAGCCTTACCCGTGTGACTTCCCGGACTGTGGACGCAGATTCTCTCGCTCGGACCAGCTAAAGAGGCACCAGCGTAGACATACAGGTACACCAGTATACTGAATGAGTGCCCCCCCCCCAGGGCCCTACCTCCACTTTTAATGGGAATTTTGAGATTTTTAAACCAGAGGGGAATTCATCCTACACTTTAAAAAAAACCCTCCTTATACAGAAGGTTTTTTTTCTACAGATATACATTACTGTTTCCAGAAATAGTATATCATGTTTACTGACCTTTAAGCCATTTAGAAGTTCTCTTATTTTTTATTCCTGGCTGTGTGGAGAAGTCTGGAAAAGGTGATCAAAGATTACTACATGATGGAACTGGATAGTTTCCTAACTAAATAAAACGATTTTATTTCTGCTCTGAATGTTCTGAAGGAGGATTATCTCATTGTAACAAAGCAGTGTTAAATCCTGTCCTGTAAAATTCAATATGGTACAGAGTTAGAAATAACCTTTCTAAAGCAGCCCTATCAATGCTTCAGAATCTATTTACTACCCTGCTGATAATTTATGGACTCCTCCCTCCATATTTGTTCCTGTTGCTAGCTGGCTGAACTTCATTTCATTTGATGCTTTTAACTTTTTCATGGGGCCAGTTTTCGTTAAACTGCAGGTGTTTGTTTAAGATATCTGTGCAATCAAAAAGTGCAATAAATTTTCAGCTTTAAGGGGGAGGGGATTTTAGGGCCTGATTCTGCCCTCTATATATTTTCCTTGTTTTCCCCTCAAACTAAGAAGATATGTTGAATATATTAGTTTCTATTCTGTTATTTATCATTTATTAAATGGCATGACTTTCTGGGAATTAAAATGTTTATTACAAATGATTTGTCACAGTAATTGTACATGTGACAATAAAGGACTTAATTATAGGAATACTAAAAACAAACAATAAAAAACACAAACTATAGGGTTCAATTTTCTCATTACAAACCATTTAAGAATGCATATTCCTACTTAATAGTTTAAAAAATCTGTTAATCAATCTGTATTTCTATAACACCAATTCATAAGAAATGTTATTTTTTTCCCCTCTCTACACTTATAGCTCCATCTAATGACATATTTAAACATTTGACCCTCACCCTCTTCTCATTTCTGTCTCTACCACAAAAACTGTTATCATCTCTGTGTAGGGGTGAAGCCGTTTGAGTGCGAGACATGTCAGAGAAGGTTTTCACGTTCAGATCATCTTAAGACGCACACGCGGACTCATACAGGTAAAACAAGTGCGTATACCTTTATTTTCTACCTCTCCATCTTTTTCCAGTGGGATTTTTTTCTTTTTTTTTTTTTTTTAGAAATGCCCATTAATTGGCTTTAATAGAAGTTTGCATTCTATGAATTGAACCTACTCTAAAGGGATCATTTGTTTTCTGTTTTCTTTTTCGACCCCTGGTTGTCAGGTGAGAAGCCCTTTACCTGCCGCTGGGCCAACTGTCAGAAGAAGTTCGCCCGCTCTGACGAGCTGATGCGCCACCACAGCATGCACCAGAGGAACCTGAGCAAGCTGCAGCCTGCCATCTGAGCAGCCAGAGGAGGAAGACGAAGAGGAAGAGGAAGGTGACGAGATGTTGTGCCAGCTAGCAGATAAAAAGCTGCCGGAGCCTGGTCAGCGACTGTGGTTCTGTGCCAGACTCGATGAAGTGCGAGCACAGCTGATGCCTCCCTTGACCGGCCAGCGAAAAAGAGACTCTGATGATCCTCGAGATCTCTGAGATGTTATCTGACCTAAAAACTCTATCTGAGCCAAAGATGATTTTTAAAAAGCGGGATGAGAAAGATGTTAATACACTATGTTGGATATATTTTAATACACTTGCACTGGCTTCTTTTTTTTATCATTTTAATTGTGTCACTCTGAAAATGTGCTGGACGATGTAAACTGGATTTAGGAATTGGACAATGTGTCTTTTTTTATGTCCATAAAGTTGAACACCCAGAAGTTTAGCTTCGGGAATGTGAACATCTTTATATTAACTTACAGTATACATGATACTTACCTACTTGCTCTGTATATATGTGGTGTATTTGCTTCCATTTATAGACATTCCTTTTTGTACTTTAATGCTTTTTTTTAAGTTGATAAAATTTGGAGTCACTTCTCTGTCAAAGAGTGGTTGATTGGCTGTTTTTGTGTGAGAGAACGAGAGAAGAGGTGTTGGTGCTCTCAGGTTAAGAGGCCACCTATGAGTGGTTGGGGGTTTAGTGGGGGGGTGACAGACAGTGAAAGAGCACCCCACTGTGACTCTGACAGGGTGCAGGTCTCACCCTTCTAAATCTCTGACACACATCTTCATAACCAGGAACATCTGGAGCCAGATAAATCTCATTAGAAAAGACACATACCTCAGTGTCAGCTGGCTGTACTTCACCGTCTGACCTCCCCCAACCCCCCTTCTGCTGAGGTTTGGCCCAACACACACACACACACACACACACACACACACACACACACACACACACACACACACACACACACACCACACACACACACACACACACACACACACACACACACACACACACACCCCCTCTTAACTCCATATCGTAAATAACAGCTTCAAGTTGAGACTAACTTCTACATCCTCCAGCCGCCACATGATGGCAGTATCAGTCTGCTTTGAACACATAACACTGACTAGCATTCACACTCGAGCCTTCATAAAGTCCATGTCCACTCTTGTCTCGCCTTCTGAGGTCTGAGAGGCAACACTGAATATGTTCCCATCAACGAAAGTGAGAAACAGGAAGCCACGTTCAGAGCGGGTTCCCGGCTCATCAAATATACACGATGTGGATGGAGTTGTGTGTCAGCTCGTGTGCAAGTCTATAAGAGACGAGATGATTCAGCTTCAGCAAGTGTGTTAATAAAATATGAGCCGATGTGGGAAGACAGAGCTGTTGCATGGCTCTGTGTGTGCTATACTGATGTCACATACCTGGAGAAGTGATGTAAACACGCACATACAGGCACGGTAGATTTAGCTGCTGGCTATATGTTCACACATGGTTAAGGTGTTCACTCAACAGGAACACACTCACACTGCTTGTTTCATTCCCTCAGCAGAACTTTATAACCTACTTGTCAAACTAAAGCCCTATTCACACGATTGGACAAAACACCTGAACATTTTCAGCAAATTTCGACGGGAAGCTTTTCTTGAAAACGCGGGAGTCAGAATTATTCAACCCCGACCCTCCCGGATTGTTTCTGCCAGCCCACAAGCACTGGAAGTGAGCCGATGTGTGAACGCAGCAGGGAATGATCAGCAAAATTTACACAAGTGAGTATGCCGTGCGATGACGTTATATTACCCCACCAGCGTGCGCGATCTTCGTGCACATGATGAATCTGCTTCACACTCTTTTCTGCTTGCCAGTATTTTATTTTCCACTCTCTCGTTTGAACAGTGAATGCATTCAGTTATCCTTCACATTTATAAAAAGGCAAAGTCATCACAGCGTCAGACTCTGTTGCTCGCCCTGCCACCTCTGCACGTCTTTTCAAAGTCGTGTCTTACCTCCTGAGACCCCGCCCCCTCCTGTCGGACGGGGGGGAAAACTTCCTGCTGTGAGAGACATGTGTGTTCAAGACACAGGAAGTTTTTCAGAAGTGCATGTGTGAAAACAGCTTAACAGAAAGATTAAAATTCTCCTGTTTCAGGGTCACAGACAGCTCATTTGAAGTCGTGATTCAGGCTGTTTTTCCAATCCACTAAATGGCTGCGAGGTGGTTTCTCTGTGATGTTCTGCTACTTAATCCAATGCACTTTGATTAGGAAAGGCTTCTCTTTGTTCTCTCTCTGCATGGGCACCAGAAGCAGAGGAAGATCAGATGGACCATGAAGTTCAACGTTACTCACTCCAGTTCATTCCTTACTGCAAAGGCTGTACCAGACCAAGCTTCAAACTGATCACAGTGGACAATGACCTCATGATCCACCTGACCCTCATTCTTTAGATTGTTTCTGATTTGAGATAGTCGGAAACAAGTGTAATATCTGTAATAATAAGATCTATAACACAACAAACAACTGCACTCAGTCCCACTCTGTCAAACGTTTTCCACCGATCTGAATGCATGAACACACAAATGCAGCGCGAACACACAATCACACACAAACTCACACTCACATGCGCCAGATGCCCCCTCAGCTGTACTGCTGGCTGTTTGCCTTTAAGGGGTGTCGGCGTGGGTAATCTCAGGTGACGTACACCTGGTAACGCACAGCCCAAGACATCTGTAGTACAGCAGGCCTGCTAGCTTCACAGCCTCACATATCCATGTGCAAACCTTGAAGAAGGTTTTCTTTTTATATGCAATGATGAGCTAAAACATGGTCTCAACAAAAAAAGGCAATATAAAAACACGAGTAAGTAGATTTTTGCATATTAGTCTTAACTTAAAAAGAACTATAACTAAAAAATATGTATAATATTGAATAATGAGTCTTAACATTAGAAGTCAGACTATTTTTCAGTATGTCTTTCAGTGAAGTCCCAGGTGCATCCATCATTATCATCACAAAGCTGAAACTGTGACACTTTAGGCCAGAAAGACGCTATTTAACCCTCAGGAAGGGGAAAGGTCAGTGCACATATAGCACACACGCAGGCCTCAATGAGCCCCGAGGGATTGCTAACAAGGTCAAGGCCCCAGAGAGGAAACTTAACGGGGTTACAAGGAGGCCTGCGTGCAAAAACAATGCTGCACCAACAGGAGGCGCTGTCAGGGACTGCTGTAATGTTAAGTGAAGCATGTTCGCAGTTGTATTCCCAGACAACCTCCTTCTCCCCCCCTCGGGCTAGCTCTCTTGTGCAGGGCTGCTGCTGCACAGTCTGAGGGGCCTAAGGGGTTCTTGGGGGTATTCCCTGTGGTTTCACAGGGAGCCTGAGGGGCTCCGGTGTGAAGGAGCTCTGGGAATGCATGAGGCCTTGGGGGCCTGGAGCTCAGATGGAGCCTAGAGGGTAAACTTTCTCACTCAGGGAGCAGAGATGGAGCGGTCAGAGAAAGACAGCGAGGAGAAAAAAAAAAACACCTTGAGAGTAATCTGTCAAATACGCAGGCAGCAGCCGGGAAGTTCCCATGAGGATTCACAGAAAAAACACACATATATGTATACTCTAACCAAAACCAAAATGTAGGCCAGCTTTTTAACTATTCCCCTCTCTCCTCGACCATCCTGTCTTTCATCTTCTCCTCTTTTCGCCCTCCTGCTGTCTCCTCTATCCCACTGTAAGATATTAATGCCTAACAGGATTAGATGTGTCTCTATCATGTGAGATACAGGATCACAAAACAACCTCAAGCCCCCCTGGGGAGCAGTGGGATAGGAGGGGATGAAACAAGGCCTCTTCTCCCCTCTCCTACCCTCCATCCCAAAGGTATCCAGATGCCGGGACGTGCGGGGAGAGGGCCGTAGAATGAGTAGAGACAAATGTTGACAAATGGAGCGAGAGAGGCGTTTTGTCCAAAGATATCAGTCTCACTGGGAAAGCATTGTCTCCGCCCTAACTCCATGAACTCCAAAACAACTCCACCATGGGCCACTTTGCCCGTTTTTTAATTAAAACTTGAAAACTTTCTCTTTGCGTATATCATTATAAGATATGCAGCAGCCTGTCAGAGTGAGTGGGCGACTAAAGCAGCCAAGTAAAAGCTGTTTGAAGCTGATTTTGAGTCATCCTGACCTCAGTTCAAAGGGCTCCCATTACTCCAGAGGCACTTACAATTAGTTACCAACTCACTAGGTTTATGTCTCCTAAATTGAAATATATCGCCCTTTAAAGCCTCCTCTCTAATTGTGTAGTCATTAATGGCCGATTCCATATCTACACTGCGTTGATGAGGACATAAAAAACTCATGATGATAAACGAGCAGAAGTGCAGTTGTTTAAAAAGAGAGCGGGGCGACTCCTCATCTTGTTTTTTTTGTTTTTTTTATCATCACCACTAGGAGGAGTAGAGCCCTGTGATCAGAGAGAGGAGGGAGAACAGCTCTCTCTGAGATGACATGAAAGATTGATGGATTCTTTCAAGCTTCATTGTCCAGGAGTAGAAACATGCAAGGCGCTGAATTAGCCTACATCCACATGACACGCACATACGACCACAGTTCTCGCACGAAACACAGAACCAATGGTTTGGGCTGCAGCAGCATTTTGGAAAATACAGAGGTCACAAAGACCAACAGGCAACGCAGAGAGGGTTGACCTCACACTGGGAAGGTCTCGAACGTTTTTCGAAAACATTTACAATTTGTTAATATAATGACTCATCTAACTTTTAAACTTTATTTTCCATAAAATTGAATTTTCTGTATGATGGACTTAATGCTGGGCACTATGTGAAGCTTAATTAGTGGTCACATTTAAATATTGATCATTACAGAAAATACTTTGTTCACTATGGGACTTGGTGAAATGTACGATAAGTCCTTTTAATTTTTGTTAATTATATGATTTAAATTCAGCAAATTTTCTGGATGCGTTCCTCGAGATGAGTTTTAAAAACTTAAGGTTTGTTTTGGAAGGGAACTTTGGTTAAAACAGATCTTATTTGAAAAAAAAACAACAGCATAATTTTGCTTGTAAAGTTGTACAATGTTTTGTTCTTGTTTGATAAATGTTTCAACACTGCAAAAGGTTTTATTTTACAGAATTTTTCTAAAAAAAATTTTTAAAAGTGGGCTAGGGGCTTGTATGTGCGTGACACAATAGACAATATGATAATCGTACTGAAACCAGCCAATGAGAAATCCTCCATGTGAAGGAATTTTACTGTAGGATGTTAATGTCTCGGTTATTCAAAAATAATTTGTTTTTATTTGTTATTTGTTTTTAAGATTCATATTAAGAGGATAGTTTGACCTCCAATAAGAGGAGAAAAAGAAACATGAGGTGTCATGTTAAGCCACAGAAACATTTAAAGACCCAATTTCACTCAGAAAAACAGCTTGATACTGAAACATTGTGTACTTTTTAAATGTTTTAATGCATGTCATTATATAATGGGCAGAGAGCGTCAGCACATGATGGGTCAGATGTCCCAAAGATCATTAGAAACAACACCCAGGGCTACAAATCCCAAAGGGATAGAAGGAACAAACACAAGAGATAAAAGACAAAGATGAGGGAGTTCAGAAATATTCAGAGGAAAACTAGGGCATCAGAGTCAGTGGAGGGGGAGGGGGAGGAGGGAGCTGGATGCAGTATGTAGTTTGTTATGCATGCGGTTTAATTGTAGTAGTCATCCTAGGTTTGCTGCTGTTAATTGCAGATATGGAAATGGCAGTGCAATATAAAAAAAAAGCTCTTTAAAAGGAGATTGTTGGTGGACGGGGCTAAGTGAAAATTACACTGGATGGGGGGCTTATAGTCTTAGACATTAATTTTCTTCACTTTATGACCCTCTTCATCCTCCATCTCCTCCCTGTTCTCACCCAGAGGGCTCATTATTATCAGTAGAGAGGGGTTGATGTACACAGACACTCATATGAGAGCTGTCTTAAGGCATTACCGCACACACATCCCCAGTGTGAATGATTAGGAGCCTATCATAAACAGGAGGGGCAGAGGCTGTTAAACATGACCGCGAGGCAGGCCGCAAAGTGCCCCCATCCTGCTCAGGCATTTTGGTTCCCTTACATCTCTGTGCACTACTACACTCACCCACCTCCACTCACACACACAGATGCACACTGACACATGACAAACCTCATATCCTATTTGCAGGAAGTACATTGAGCTACTTAGTGTTTCAGGCCTCCCAATTATTCAAATGTAAGATGCTAGACAGACCCCGCACTCTTTAGCAAGGCAATTGAGCAAATATTAGATTATCAAATGAGTATAATGCGGACCAGAAATAACTGAAAACTTAAAATATCAGTACAGGTAGCACCTCTACTTTGAATTCCCCCCCGAGACCTGGACCTTTTAGTCAGATGAACAAAGAAGGAAGTCATCTGCAAAGAAGTTTGTTCTCTTTGAAGTCAATGGCCAAATGGAGCCACGCCAGAATACGGTGACCTATTTTTGCTAATTTTTTATGAAATAATCCTTGTTTTTGTCATGTCACCCTCAAACTAAGTTATTCAAACCTGGAAAATGTCAAAGAAATTATATAAATGTGAAACTAACATAAAAACCTGAATATTTATTAGCTTTCCAGACATTTTCTGGCCACCTCAGTGATTGTCTGAGTGTGTTTGAAGAAGGTCCTACATCACAACACAGCCCACACATACATCGCCCTGTCCCCTTGTTCCTAATGAGCTTTATCGCATTGGTCCCGCTTGACTTGTCTTGCTAACTGGCACACATATATCCATATGTTCCACATGAGCAGGCAGAGGGGACAGGCTGGGTGGCAGCGCTGCTTTCTCAGTTACATCTGAGAGTTTTACTGCAACAGCCAGCAGCAACGGCAAGTCAGCTTAACTCCATCTCTGCTGTGTGTGTGTGCACACTGCAATTAGTCATGAGAAGTGTTAACAGCATCCGCTTGCTCCTGATGTTCAATGAGTCAAATATGTAGACTCAAATGTACAAAGGAGCTACAATCAATAGAGGTACCTGGGATACATTAAAGCTATTGTAAACTTTAAGGTTAAACAAACTTGCAGTGGGACTAAAACCTAAGACTAAGTGCATGGAAAACCAACTCAGGCAAATAAAGAAATAAAAATAACACCAGTAGATTCTCAATGGGAGCCTTGTTATCTATTAAAATTTCTAGAGAGAATACGCTGAAAGAGTAAAGGTATTAACAGCAGGAGTTTAAGCAGGAAATTACCTCAGTGTATCGGCCTAGAGGCCTCACAGGGTGTTTAAAGTATTGTGTGTTGTAGGCTGGACTCCAACTGCTATAAAAGGCCAGTGAATGTGTTTACCTGTACCCATCATGCTCGGTAACAGCAGGGAGGCAAGGAAAGTAGAACACGGCTTAAAATAGGACACAAGAAGGACAGTATCTTATCTGTTATCATGTCTTATTTATATGTATTTACATTCAGATCACTCGGATGACATCATGGGATTCATAAATAATATTCTAACATAGTAAAAGTAGCATTTACTGCTATGCTATTGTTTTAACTACATTGGCAGGTGGAGGCAGCCACATAAACAAAAGGGCTAATAATAGTCTGCTTAATGAGAAGTTTATGTATTCATAAATAATTCCATCCGTTGACAATAGTTAGAGGAAAAGGAATACAACTTTACAAAGCTTTACATGAGGTTACAGCAAATACAGAGCTAGCTTAGCTTGGCAAAACACATTGAAGCAGCTATCTTAGTTCTGTCCAAAGGTAATAGCCTAAAACTCATAGATTAATGACCCTTGTCTGTGGTCAACACAGGGTGGAAGTTAACTGATGTCAGTGAGACTTCTTTGATAATGGGCATGAATAAAAAATGTTTGATCTCATTTCAGTACAAATATGTATTTAGTTTTGACAGAACTCTCAAACATAGCTAGGCAGATTAAGATGAAAAATGTTTTGTTTTCGGTGGCTGTGACAAACTCTAAATATACAAACGATCAGAATTAGAAATACCTTAAGTTATACCAGAGGGAAATGTGATGACACTGAAGTTAAAGGAGTAATATTTCTAGTGTTGGGAGTCAATGAGGTGTCAGTACTTTGAATTTACTGTGAAGGATTGAAGGACTGAAGGATTAGCATGCTAATGATCCACAGAAGCTTACATTTACAGCTCTGTCCACCAGAAAGCTTAGAAGTGAAGAAGCCTTTCGGAGGAGAGGTGAAAAGTCTAGTTGCCTTTGGATCAAGCTTCGAATTTGGTCAGTTTCACTTTGATGGAAGAAAGAAAACTCGAGTGGAGGGGCATGGTAACATAACTTTACCTGCAAAACATGTGATGTATAACACAACAGTATGTTCTATTTCCTATGAATTTCAATGTGCAAATTCAAACTTATTTTTCTCCTGCCACCTGATGCCCATTGTTATCATCATGTCTGAACTCGTCTAGTTTGCTGGCAGTGCTCTAGCCAAGTGAAATACAGGAGGATGAGGAGATGGAGACCACGGACAAGTGTTGTCCATCTTTTTTTTTTTTACAGTCTATGAATAAAAGAATACATCTCAACTTTTTAAAGTGGTACAATAAGTCAAATAATGACTTTTTTTGGGTTGTAGAGAAAAACGGGAGCCTACACCATTGCAAGGAGCTGATGCTTAGCAAACCAACTTCTTGTAGTAGTGATCTCTTCTTTTCTAACTTCTGGCAAGAAAACCGTTAAGCATGTCCCAAAATGATGAACTCTGTATTTCTTATTTTTCCTAATCCAGCTATAGTAAAGAGAGAAATAGTTTGATATAACACTTTCTTTGTTTTGGAAAGGCACACAGCACCTCCAAAGTCTCAATGATGATGCTTTGCAGCTTAACAAACATTTTTTTTTATTATGAGACAACTCATGAGCCTCTGCAGTGGGGAAATAAGATTATTGGGATGCATTTGTGGCCATTAGTGAGAGAAATTAAATGAAAAGTCAAAAAAATAGTTCTGAAGCAAAACAACGGGCTGTAACAAATAGTCAAAAGCAGTGGAAAAAAATCAGTACAGAAGAGATGACCTTGGAGTGATGCAACAGCAAACTGTCATGCAAAAGTAACCAAATTAAACTTTTCTTTAGTCTTATTAAAGACAGAGTACAAAAAAGCATCAGTTGTAAACAGTACAGCGCAAATATAAGATCAACAAAGGTCAATAAAATACTTAAAGATAACATATTACACACTAATATGTGTCTCTAGTCTATCTACAAACCCCCCAAACTATGAGAAAGGTCCATCCTCTCCGTCTTTTGCCTGGTCCAGTTTTCAGGCTGTTTGGAGATTTTCCCTTTGTGACATCACACAGGGCAGAAACCCCTCCCCCAGGTGGGTGACACTCCCACAGCTAGGTGTTTGTTCTGCCCTCTGAGTCTACCTTCTCACCGTAAATGATTGGGCATGGTGCAAGAAAGCCCAAGCAACATCCACTTCCAGAGAGGGGGCGTGGTCTAACACAGCTCATTTAAATTTAAAGGTACAGACACAGAAACAGCCTGTTCTGAGCAGGGCTGAAATAGAGGGGTTTATAGGCAGGATCAAATACAGGATTAGAGTGGATTTTTAGATGAAGCTAACTCTCACATAAGCAATAAATACATGTCAAACTGAAACCTTACAGGCACACAAAAAACCAAGGCGTGCAAAAGTCATGCCATAAAAAATCTTTTAATAAACAGTTTTAAAGATCTCAACTAAACAGAAGATAAACAATAATGGCAAAAAAAAAATGAATCATTTGGCAAGGAAAACTGTAAACAAAGAATCATTGCTTGTGTCTTGCTTAAAGAATAAAAATCTTGTTCAACATGTATTCATCTCAAAGTTCATGTGATGTTTGATAAATAAATAAAATCAGAATAAAATGTCCTTATCTGCACTGTAGTTTCACATTAACATTGCTATCAAAAACGGTTCCTGTATCTGAATATCCACGTGAAGCTCAGCTTTAAGCTTTGTTTTATTGAAGACTAGTGCACACAGATTCTGAGGCAGCAGAGCCGGCGACGCGGCTGGAAGGCACCAACGATTGGAGAGTTGAGTCCACTTGGCCTGACTTTGCTCCTGAATGTCAGAAACAAAAGCGAGATGAACCCTTAAGAGTTACTGGTGGGACTGACACTCATCCGTCCTCTAGTTTGGTCTCTACAGTGTTTGTTCACAAGGTCCTTCACACTGACATCTGTCCTGTTGTCAAAAGGAGACGATGGAGTGGAGCTTGTCAGTGATGTCTGGAGGTGGAGGAGTTTTGAATTCTGTCAGTTAAAACAAAGATGTTTAACAACCCTCCACACACACACACACACGCACACACACGCACACACACACACGCACACACGCACACACACGCACACACACACACACACACACACACACGTCAGAAGAGCACTAAGATCTCAGAGCTCGTCGTGGCTCTTAGTGAGATCCTCTCCATAGTTGGTAGCCTGACTTCCAACAAACATGTTCCAGTTTTCAAGGATCTCCTCTTTGGTCAGCATCTGGTCCTGAGAAATGATGACAAGGGAATAGTACGGTAAGTAACTAACCCTAACCCTTTTTTTTTTTTTTTACAATATTAGCCGAATCAGTTAAGACCTACAACCAGTTTTATTGCAGAGTTTTAAAACAAAAAGTAAAAAGAAAAGGTAATTTTTGCAAACTGTTGCCAAGGTGTATACATCTTATAATCACGCAGGGTTTTTTTTAGCAATGAATAGAATTAACAATGACATTAAGGATCATTATGTGATCTCATGTAGATCCCAAACCCACTCAGTTCTTCCTTATTGCGCTCAGAAACTAAAACAATACATCTTAACAAATCCAAGAGGGAGAAAATGACTGCTCAGGTAAAGATATTAGCATCTCCATGTAAAGGCTATCTTTTGGAGAACTGAAGTCACAGCAGATAAATAATTTTAGAGTGGACAAGAACTCCTACATACATCATGACAGGCAAATCTGCATTCAAACCTAACATGTTAATGCAGTAAAGACTAGGTACCTTGTCTTGGTCAGACTCGTACACCAGATGTCTGGCCTCGGCCTGGGCATGGTCGTAGTCTTGTGGCATAATCCAGTGGCGGATCTCGTCGGTGTCCATTTTACCATCTTTGTTCAAGTCTCTGAAGTCAGAGAACTGTTCCCTCTCAGTCTTGACCCAGTCGGGCTCTGGACCCCCATCCTCGTGAGCAAACATGTCAGCTGAAGAGTGCAACCAAATGAGGAGATGAGAAATGACAAACTTGCAGATGTAAGTACATATTTGCAGGAAACAAAATCAGATATATGACCCCCAATTAAAAATGCAAACCATCATTGCAAATACAACATACACAGATTGTATTTCTTTATCAGATCAACCAAAATTGCATTAAAACTGAGATGAAATCAATGAAAGGACTAGAGTCGTACTCTGATGATACACAACTGTATTTAGCGGTCTACGAAAAGAGGATAGTTTTGTTTTTCCCCTCTTTTAAAAAAGGGCTGGTAATGAGATGGACTGAAATCCTAGAACTTAACCAGGACAGAGTTGCAGTTCTCCCGATGGATCAGAAAAAATACCAGCAACAAGCCTGTCCCTAAACCTGCACTGGATAGTCTTACGTGGTTATGTTGAGTGCCCCATGTACAGAAGCTAGAGTCGTTGCCCCAGCGATCATTCATTCATTCATTTGCCCAGACTTACCGATATACTCATCTTCATCCACGTGTCCATCGCCGTTCCTGTCAATGTCCTCCAGGGTTTCCTGCATTAACAATGAGTTTATGATGTCATTAAAGCGGGGGACACAAGGGTCAACAATGCTGGAACTTTCACTCCGAGTAATAAAAGGGAGACTTGTTGCCTCAGGCAGAAACAGTGAGTGTATGAGGGTCAGGTTACAGCCAGGCAGGCAGACTGACACGCACGTTACAGGAGGTTTTTTTTTTTCTTCTCCTCCATCCTGGATGTGACAGAGTGTGAATTTCACAAAATGTTTTTTTAATGGCTTGCCGTGTGGAGCTGATCATTATCCAACAACCACACACATACATGTGAAGTAAGTGAAATGCATATGGGTCATATCACATGCACCCAGCTACACAGATTCAAATCACTGTATGCATCCTTTCCTGCAGGTGAGAGGCTCTCTCTGAGCCCCGCTAAATGATTCATAACCACGGATCTTCTCTCGTCTTATAGCTGACTAATAATAAACATGAGCGACCATCTATTGGGTTTCTATACCCACTTAACCTGTGAAAGGTTGCATGTAAACAAGAGATATTCATTAAAAATATAAAACCTATTGAAAAATTGAATAATACTTTGATTAAAATGGACAAAAATGTAGAAGCTAATAGTGAGAGAAGTGTAATGTGTCTCTATGGAGACCAGGAGTCAAACCATAATCAACGCATTCTGGGTTTGCACAACACTCGAGCCCTTCACACACAGAAGCAACCATTAGAGGTAATGTGGGATATGCCACTCCACACAACCATGCCAGGATTTACCAAAGGAGTTCTGAGGAGGCACTAAATAGAAGAAACAGTATCTCCAACAAACTGGTGTAGAACAGAGCAATGGCTTCTTAACCTTTAAGACAAGTGATAGAGAAGACACATCTTCTGTTCTTTTGTGTCTATTTCTGTGGATATCATCATGAATCATCCTATTGATTCTTGTTTGCTTGAATGGTTTTGTTTATGTCTGACTTCTTAGGGGATCCCTGGGCGGTGGGGTGATGGGGCTGGGAGGTCGAGCCTTGCCATGTTTTTTTTTTGTTTGTTTAGTTATTTTCATTGTCATTTTTTTCTGTCTCTTATTGTTAGGTCCTTGCGTTCTCTATATCTTTGTCTGGTGTACACTGGTGTGGTGGGAGGCAGGTACTGCAGTATCACAATGTATGTGTTGTTCTGTTAAATGGAACTCATGGAATTCTTTTGCTGCCTCCCCATATTAAAAAATATCCAATGAATATTTGATTACAAAAAGAAAGAAGAAAAAAAAGTCGCCCGTGATTCTGAACAAACATTTTTGGACTGAAACTGGGAGACGCTGCAGAACAAGGACGTTAACTTCTAAGTGGAATAAAGTGAACAGATCCAATAACGACACACTGCACATGTTTACAAGCCCGATCAGTTATCCGTCCTGCTAATCTGTGTCAGCAGTGTGTCCCCATTTCTCCACACATGACTACAGATACCATCAGTAACTCTGCTGTGTGGTTGTGTGAAAGACTTGCATCTGCCCCGGAGTCTGAACCATTACTGAAACAAGAAACAAGCCTCATATGACCCAGATGGACCACAATCACTGATGAGGCCCCCCTGGGAGGGAACAGGTCTTTGGTTACATCCTGTGACATCATCAAAAATGAGAGATGAATTATTAACTCTGTCGAATGGGTGGTACAACTTTTATGAACAGAGCGGCATAGTGCATCGCTGCTAACGTTTGCCACGCAACTGCAAAATTTATATTTAAAGATTAAGTCTCAAAGGGGACGGTTGGTGCTATCCCACTGGACCTGTTCCCAAAAAAATACTGAAACTCAATCACTTCCTGGACACGTTCAAATTTCACTAAGGAGCTATCCAACTGTATATCTGCCTGGGTCATCAGATTTATGGAGAAGAAGTCGACTCTATTCATGCTATTAATGTGGTGAGAAAGGTTAAGAAACTCTTCAATTAGAGACTTTTTTTCAGGTCCCTGATGCCAAACATGTTTCAACACCTCTTTCTAATCATACTTAACTACTGTGTGATTACAGAGGGCTTACCAGAACCACAATATCTTTCATGTGCTCGAACTCCTCAGGGTGGAGGAATGATGTGAACTCCTCTCTGTCGGCTGCCAGGTCTCCGTTCAGATCAGCTGTCTGAAACCTCCTCTCATCACGAGGGAGCATCTTCTTGAAGCTGAACTGGTCGGTCGCATCCTCAAACTCCTCGGGGTTGGCTGAAAAGGGGGAAATTAAACCAGGTTATACCAAAAAAAAAAATCACTTCGATACGTCTTCATGAAAATATGATAGTTCACGCCTGAAACACACGTACCTAGGTAGTACCCATACGTGGCCTGCTTGTATTCATCCCAGGAAATCTTGTTGTCTTTGTTCAGGTCGTAGTCCGTCCACACCTTTGCCACATTCTCATATACATAACGCTTCTGGACACGCTTTATCCAAGCCTTGAGTTCGGCTGTGGTGATGTAGCCGTCAACATCGCCGTCTATCCGGTCCACTATTTTACTGCAAGGGGAAGAGAAAGTCGGCATTTGTTAGAATTTACACTTTTAACACTCAAACAGAACAACAGATAACAATTAGGTGTCCAAAATACACCGTATAATACTTTTTATAACAACTTTGGAGATGATTAAGAAAAGCGTAGAGTGAGCAGTAAAAGTTAAAAAAAAAGGTACCGTGGCTTAAATGAGTATACTTAAGTAGGGGGGGGGGAGCAGGCAGAGCCATTTACATGACAAAAGCAGGATATGTATAGCTGTGGTTTATTCCTAGAGCTGGGTTGCCACGTTGTGATGTGAGGAGGGCCCCTCCCACCCTCAGCACCACAGGAGAGAGGATTCCTTCACGTTTTAAATGGTGTCACCTCTTCATCCCAACAGAACCATACTGCAGCCAGTGACAGCTCCCACACTACTCTGACTCAAACTAACATCGCCTACAAATGCTTCTTTAATGACGATGTATAATTAAGATTCAGGCTGCACAATTAGATCCATTTGAGTGTGTGCGAACAGTAGTAATGCACCACGGTTGTACCCAGCCTTGTAAGACTTTCTGGCATGCACGTCTCTCTCAGGCTTTTGTTAAATTTTAATGCTCCCCAGCCTCGCACAGATAACACGCAACAGCCTCCTGCAGGAGAGGAGTGAGTGTGAGTGATTTACTCCAAATGCTGCTGCAACATGTGTGACAATAACACCAAGACTGTGTAAGGTAACATTGCGGGTGAAGGAGGGCCTTGTCCTTACCCAAGCCTGTCTTTGCTCTCCTCTGGTGTGAGCTGATCAAATGTCCTGGCTTCCTCTTTTCCCAGAAAGGCCTCATGGTCGTACTGGTAGCTCTTATTGTCTTCGTGGCCTGGCCTGCTCTGCAGATCTGGTTCATGGTGGACCCTTTCTTTTCTTAACGTGGGCTTGCTTTGCACAGCAGCAGCGCACATAAGCAAGGCACAGACGAAGCCGAGGACGTCCATCAGTCCAGGGAGGATGAAGAGAAATCCCAAACAGTTGTATCCAGACAGGCCCCCGTGGCTCTGGGATGAAACAACAACAGGCGGCGACACTATGTGGCCACTTCTCACTTCTTGTATCGACACACTCCTCTCTTCTGTGAGGATTTCTTCAAGCTGCATCCGGTTACGAAACCTGCAAAACAGCACCTGAAGTCCACTATGGGCATCCACAGTCCTCACTCAAGACGGATTTTGGGCATTCCTGTCCGCTTTCCCTGAGGAAAGGATGCAACCAAGCCGGGGTGTTTTCCTGCCGCCTTACGTACAGCCAATCAGAGTGTCCGTTTCAGGCAGACTCATGCCTCTTTCACGTAAAGAACGGCTGCCATTGGTCAGTGGGATGTCAGTAACAACGAGAAGGATTCCGGCGCCACGTTGCAAGCTGACGCTCAAACTCAGCCCACTGAAAACCGGCTTCAGTCTGACACTGGAGAGGAAAGCAGGGACGAGATTCAAGTGTTTTGGCGAAATTGTTACAGCTCGACAACCCCACAGTGTTGCTTCAGAAGCACAACAATGCTCCTGCTTGCTTGGAGTATACGGGTAGGCTATTCATGTGCAAGACAGAAAGATGGTCCAAATAGGTCCCCTATGGAGTCATGTCTGCTGTGACCAAAGAAAGAAAGTTGAAACTCAAAATGGGAGGATTTTCTCCAGACAACTTAGGCTATTATAGCCAATGCTACAATATCTGCAGTCAGCACATTGTGCAAGCAGAGGGGTAGCTCAATGTTTGTTTGGAGTGTGAGAGGTATTTTCTTTGATTCAGAACAGGGATGGGCAACTTTGGTCACAGGAAGGGCCACATTCATTTCTGACTGCCAGAGGGCCAAATTGTAGCATACAAAAACGATTACAGTCAATTATGTCTCAAATTTAACTCAACATATAAAAGTGATCATATATTATTATTATCATTATTATTATTATTATTTGTCATGTTTTCTTCATGTTTCCAATTAATTCATATGTAAAAATTGACCTGAGCAGTGGCCCTAATGGTCAGGGCGCGCGTCCCATGTGTTGAGACTCTCGTCTTGAGCGGTAGGCCCGGGTTCGCTTCCACCCGTGGCCCCTTTCTGCATGTCATTCCCCGCTCTCTCTCCCTGGTTTCCGACTCCATCCACTGTCCTCTCTCTGCATTAAAGGCACGAAAAGCCCAAAATAAATCTTAGAAAAAAAACAAAATTGACCTAAGAGCCACGTTGAGGGTTGATGGGGGCTGCATGTGGCCCCCGGGCCGCCAGTTGCCCACCCCTGATCCAGAATAATAGCTACAGCTTGGGGAGTTGGTTCTTCACACAGTATAGCTATAGGCCAATTTAAAGTTAAGGAGTGAAAATCATTTGTTGAAGTCTTGTGAGTAGATTTGGTTTTGTTGTCTTTCTTTTGATTGTGATGGCAGTTATTTATTAGAACAGAAGGGCATGAGGCTTTTAAAGTTTTCTCATCTCAGCCCATATTTCTAATTCATTCACCATTTTCCTCTCGTGTACAAAAGTTCAGTTGTGTGACGCCTGATTTCTGTCTAAACTAAACTGTCCAAACAATACATCGAAGAGCTCCAGAGGCCTGTGCTGCAGAGCGACTTCAGCGCTCTGGGTATATCTTCTGTTGAACCGACCTAAGCTAACCCTCACAAAGGTGATGCATTTAACAGTCACACACAGCTGGTTACATCAATTTGATAAGTAAACCCAGATTTTCTATCAACACCATTTACGTAAAGGGGAGACGTTAGCAGCTCGTGACCAATATACACATTAACAAGTCTGCAGATCTTCCTACGTCTCAAAATTAGAGCTAACTATGTCATTACAAATATGACAGAGTAATATACTGCAGACTAAAGTCACACAGGTGTATTGACAAATGTAAGAAGAACTAGCACAAAAAACAAAAAAACTGAGTGTGAATGCGCAAATAGAGGCGTATGATATCCCTTTATCATCATTAGTGCACAATAGATCTGAATATCGTCTAATGACTCCCGTTTCTTCCTGAAATGATTTCCTCACACATTTGCAGTACTGAAACACCAGAGCTAACCCTGAAGGCCCCTAAAAGTTGTAAGTCATATCAGTCTTGGGAACGTAACAATCCTTCTCGTTTCAACAATTAAAAGAACAATGAAGGTGGAAATCTGGACAGATATTGACCCATATTTCAAGACAAACACATTTGGTAACCAACTATAGCTTCAGTAACAAACAGCTATAGCAGCAGCATTCATCCCTTTAGTTTCTCCCCAGATTTAAAAGTCCAATATGTAAGATATCTGAATCATAGCATAAAAGGAACTTAGTATATCGTCAGACATTAAAGGCTTTACATGCGATTTTTTGATCCAGCAGATGTCGCCCTTGAGCACCAGCATGAAACCAAAACAACTCGCGGTGCATTGTTGTGTTAGCATGCTAATGCTAGCGATCTTTATTATGCTCGTATCTTCACACTGCATGTAAATTTACCTGAAATGAGCGTGATCTAGAAACACAGTTAAGCAGTGAGTACAGTATGTTATTCTTCTTTTCTCTAGTCCCTCAATTAAACAACTTTTATACGTGAGGGGAGGAGTCAGCTGCCATCCGGGCGATGTAAACAAAGTGAAGATAGGACTCTGAAATCATCACAGACAGTGGGACTCGGGTGTCACACTCATTGTAAACAGTCATGACTCACAGAGTTACTTTCAGAGAATATACTTGATTTCTATTACATTTAAGTGTGAAAAATCACATATAAAGCCTTTAAGGAAACATACTATGTTGCAGTGCTGGCTTCTCAACAGTGCATTCCTCCTAAGTTTAGATTCCAGTGCAGAATGGTTTGTTTTTATTTTGACCAGAGATGTAGGCCCCACACGGCTGTTTTGGACCAGCTCGGTTTGCCCGGCAAACAGAAAGCCAACAGGTGTTGCAGCGATCTAAGCGGGCAAGCGAACTGGTTCAGATATTAATTATTCTACCCGACCTAAAAAGCTGCTGCATTTTTCTAATACTCCACGAGCAGAAACGTGGAAAAACTAGGATAAATATTGGAGATGCTTTTGAAAAATGGAGAGGTGAGAACCCAGAAATGTTTTAAGACCTATACAGAGCTGGTTAGTGTCCATGGCCTGGCAAGAGGATGTAGGCCTACCAACAGCTGTCTACATTTCTATGTAGAATCTGAAAACAGAGATTACTTCACTGTTAATTCTACCACATGTACTAGACATACAGAGGATCCAAACGTCGTCTTCCTCAGACCTCAGCGAATCAGAAAAACAAAATTACAACAGTCAGACACAACAGACAAGAACAGGGAAAAACAAAAAAGACAATAGTGCAATTTGTCAGTGGACAAATACAGATGTTGTCATAGTCGAAGTAGAAGCAGTCATGTTCAAATTGTGGCTTCTAAAAGAGAAAGTGCCAGTGCATGGTCTAATTATTTTTCTATAGAGTAAAGTGTCCGTCCCTTCATGGATAGGTGAGATGGGTCAGAGAGAGTTCAGCAACTTGACAGCTTGAAGGAAACTGCTTTGTAGCGGTTGCTTTTGAATGGCTAATAAAGAGCTGAGTACATCCTCACATGATACTGGTGCGGTGTATCGAAACATTTTTAAGTCAAAGTGAGGGTCTCTGGGAAATATTATTACTAATGACCAACAATGACTACTAAGAAGGACGGAGGAAGATTTCCAGAACTCCTTTTGAGTTCCCTATAAACATAGCTTCTCTTGCATGTTTTTGTATTCTGCTGATCCGTGGAGACATTTAGTATGTTTGTCAAGTCCAGCTGTGATACATGACCAGTTTAGGAAAAACTCTAGCAGCACTACAGAATGAAGAGATGATCTGACACTTTATATGATCATCTCAATGCACATTACTTAGTCCCAAAGGCCGAGCTCTGACTAGAGTACAGCCACTGGATGTTTCGTACAGCTGCAGCACTGATCGGGTGACTTGACTGAAGCAGTGCCTGTGACTTTTTCAGATTGTACTCAAACAGCGCTAGAGTTCAACAAAGTAGCTTCATAAACACACAAGAAGCACAACCTGCAGGTCAAATCCTTTGGATGTACAAACTATGCATGCAGGTATAGTGTTATTATATTCTTATGTGTCTGTCACAGGCATAAGGACTGTATGATAATATAATGTAGATTACAGGGGATGCTAATATGAAATATTGAAGGGCAACACAATTGTTGTTTGATAATTCAAAAGTTTTACTAAAGTCTTACTGTTAGCTTTAAGGGACTCTGAGGGTTTTTTGCTGATAAGAACTCAGTGTTGTACAGTGTTGTCATTTTTGTACAGTCCTTTGATAAAGCTCATTCAAAATGAGAAATGTTATATCACATCCTCGAGGATGACACGGTCATTTAAGACATTAATGTCTGCTGTGTTCTGTATAGAGAGTAAAGAGATGAACCAGTTAAAGTCATTAAGAGACTTCAAGTCACAAACAAACCAATGCAAGCACTCCTAAAATAAATCATGACCCCAAGTCTCCCTGAGAGACATCTGACTTATAAATAGGATGGTTGGATTCAACAGTGTCTATAATGATCTTTAATATGGACTTCTTTAAGTTGAAGTTGCAGCAGCTGTCTTTTTTCCCTGGGGTTTTAAGTTAACTTATACCACTTCCTGGCCCTATACCTAATTAATCAAAACCGACATTCAGAACCTGTAACAGAGGTAATCTTGCCCATGTCGATTATTTTCAGTCACTGGACGTCACGTCCAATCTGCATCATGGAAGCAGTGTCCGTCGTTTGGACACATTTTGTCTTCAGGGAAGACGACAGCGAAACAAAAAGAAGTCAAATGTAAACACTGCAAGAAATGCAAGTTTTTTCTTTCCTACTGTTTTAGAGAAGTTCATTTCTACTTTAAAACTAAAATGTGTCGTTTTCATTTAAAGCGCTACTTTGATTTCAGTTCCAAATATTCAATAAATAACCACAAAATAGTTAATCAGATATGAACTCTTTCATTAGGAAAAATGTCTCAGCTCTAATAATCAGAGTGTACTCAGTATTATTAAATGACTTTACAAGAAACAGTTTCATTGGTGTATCTGAAAGCACATTTCTTACTACACTACACTGAGTCTGCAGTCGGTGTTTCTGTAAGTGTGTGAATCAAAGAAAAGGGACTGTGAGCGTGTTTGAAGCAGTTTTGTTAACCTGCAACTTCATGTTTCACAGAAAGACACACAAAGAGTTAGCATGGTTTGGGGGGTTGTGGGGAT